TTTTTTTTTCAATTACATGTCCAGATATTGTATATATACATCACATAAATATGATCTGATATTTCTCTAATAATAACCATATAGTTATACATAAGATAAACAACATATAAACAACACTGAAACGGTATAAAAACATAATATACAATTCTGAATGACGGAAAAATTCAAATCGATTATAGTTTTATATTAGATAAACAACATATGTATACTTTACCAAAAGTGTAGACATATGTACTTTTCTCTCTCGTCCGCCGGTAGAGCTGCTCGACTTGCCAACAACTGATGGATCTCCAGTCGTCGGCCTCGCTCTCGCCCTCAGCCGCTGCTGTTGCTCTCTGTCGCTCACAAAAATCACCTCGCACAGGAGTGGCCTGGTGCTCGGAAATTGTTCAGCCGCAGACCCCTGGTGCTCGGAAATTGCTCAGCCGCAGACCCCTGCTATCGACTGCTCCTCTGTCAGGTCGTCGGCTCTCGTCTCTGTCGCCGACAGCTCGACCTCCTCGTGCCTGGCAACAGTGTTGGCGGCTTTCAGACGCCGGCGAGTGTTGCCCACCTCGTCGTCTGACTGGTGCCAAAAAGTCGATCGAAACAGTGGGAATATTTGACAGGAGGATTGAGAAGAAATCCGGTAGGCATGCCATGTGTAGTGCCCCATTTGATTTATAGAGTTTTCTGGATTATTTATTTATCGTCATTTTATTTTACTTTAATTTATTTGTTTTCCTATGCCTTATTTATTCGCATATTGCCATATTATTGCTTGAAGAATATATTTATATGCTTATCGAACATTTTTTTATTAATCGTTCATCGACTCGTTCGGCGACTTTCGGTTTAATCGTGTATATTTTAATTCGACTCATTCACCTTATTTTTCTGAGAAATTTACCCCGATTACTGCACCTTTTAACATTTGTAAAAATACGAAAGTCAAAACTCTCCTTTGTAAATACGAATTTTTTTAGTTTCAATTAAATATGTAATTGACGGTTTGTGCGGTTTAAAATTATTAATCACAATCATCCTGAAGGCACAATTAATTGGTCAAATTGGAACAAGCATGTCGAGAATCATGATAATCCATATATTACCAAAAAACAACCCGCTAAAAAAATAAAATAAAATTATCACCAAATCACGACTTTTGTGTTTCTTCACTCATACAAGACAGGAGAAGGAGAAAAAACAGTTCCATAGAACACTCAAACACCATCTTCCTCCATAGATTTATCAATTGCCAATCGAAGAAAATTACAAGATGTCAATTATCAATAGTGAAGATGAAGTTTGATAACTCGCTCACTATCTCGTCTAACAACTAAAAATTAAAAATTCGAGCATAAAGTCATCCAAAAGAAGCCGGTCGCCGCCGCCATTCGTTGAGCCATGAATCTAAGATGTCGCTCCAAAAATTTAATTCTCAACCGAGAGCCAAGCGGGACCACGTAACCCTCCACCGCCGCTGCTGGCCGTCGCATCGTCTTTCGTCACTCCTTGGCAGGATTCTCAACCGAGAGCCAAGCGGTAAATCACGACAATCCTCCGTCGTTGGTCGTCGCATCGTCTGTCGATCTCCCACCCCTTGATTCTTCTAATTTTTAACAAGAGTACGACTCGAGATTTGTTTTAGATTAGATATGTTTAATTGTACATGTGTCTTAGTTGTATGAGGTTTTGTGTTTATATATTGTTAGTTTATCTTAAGTTTAATTATATTGCACTCGATAAGAATGATGTGTTAAGTTTTATCTCGTTTGTGTTGTTTATATGTTGTTTATCTTATGTATAATTATACGGTTAATTTACATGCATTTTACATGTTATTTATCTTATGTATATATACAATATATCTATACACAATATATGCCGTATTGTTTTTTGGAGTGCACAAAATTGTTGATTGAACTTTGTAAATTTCATGTAAAGTTGAAATATGTTTCAATTGATAAGTTCTAAGTTCAATTTAGTGTCATGTAAAGTAGACATATGTTGTTTATCTAATGTATAACTACATTCGGTTTGGATTTTGCAATAAATCAGAATTCTGTATTATGTTTATATATCGTTTTAGTGTTGTTTATATGTTGTTTATCTTACGTATAACTAAAAGGTTAATATTAGAAAAATGTTTCATCATGTTTATCTGATGTATATATACAATATATCTGACATATTTTTCGTGGTTATGAGAAAATATATATATATTATCTGAATTTTTTTTACCGAAATTATTTGACGGAGAGAGAAAAAAACATAAACGTGAAGAGAGAAACGGATGGAAAGAGAAACGTATCAGATTTGATGCGTTGATTGTGGAGGCCATCATGTCATGCTCATTATATGGAGAGAGAAACTATCAAATTTGATACCATTAATCAATATATGGAGAAAGAAACGGATATGTTGATTGGAACCAATTCTCGTACAAATGAATAAATCCACTACTTATTCCTTTTTTGATTAATTTTTCTACAGATAGTATATATGTAAATATATCTATATAAGGGTATATGTATGTAATTTTCTCTATTTTTCTCGGCCAATTGAACCGGACTTTGTGACATTGTGACCAACCCTTGTTATAGCCTCATTTCGGTCCATTTTGACCCATAAAACCGACCCTAAATACCCTTATGTTCATTTTTGCCTTTAGAGATTTTTATAACTCATTTTCACATTTAAATCCACTTAAATGAGAACCAATTATGGTCACCTTGACCAAATCCCTCCACCCATTGGTACACGGCTGATGAGCCTTCCTTTTGCACTAATATTGCTCTATTTTTGGTAAATAGATCACAGGATGTGAAAACCCCCTCATTCCAATTATTTTGCACTTAAGTTAATACCATTATATTTCCTCTCCTCACGTTTTTAACTCATACCTTCATAGTATAATAATACTCTATCTCTTCTCTAATAATCGCCCCTTCATCAAAAAATCCATCGCCCCTCACAATTCCTCCCTCTCCGCCTTGCACCGCACGCGCATCCTCACCTTGTGATGAAGATTGCGTGTCCCGATAGCTTGGTTTGCCTCAAAGTCGCGCACGAACGGCTCCTTTTTCGGTGATTGACATGAAAGACTCAGAGGTTTCCTTGCCTTGACGTCGATTTGAGACTGCTCGAACGTTAGTCCTTGCCAAACTCGGACTTATGCCTAACAATCCGGTGAAACGCCCTTTTTGGCATAAGGGTTTTGCGCTAAATATCTATAAATCTAACCCAAGAAGTTTGAACAAAAGTTCAATTTTTGATTGATAAAACTGATGATGAAAAACATCCTAATAACATAAGTATTTAAAGAGAACAACCTAGTGTAGTCCTAATTGAAATAAGCTTCTAATCCTAAGGAAAGTAAATAACTTGAACCCTAAAATATCCAAACTAATGCACTCCTAAACAATCTAGGAACAATAATAAAGCATGCGGGGAAATAAGTTCTGGAACTTCTAGAAGAAATCCCAACTTGTTCGTCAAGTAACCCTAGTCATTGTGCTCAGTTCGTGTGCGCGCATCTCCTGTGCGCGCGAATTCAATCGGCGATTATCTTCGCGCGCGTCTCCACATGGGCTTGCGTGTCCGCACGCCCCCGCCTCATTCGTAGTCTGCCTATGCGCGTCATTCTCGTGCGCGTTGTCCTGCGCACCACCGCATATACCCATCGCGTTAGCCTCGGTAGCCTGTCGAGCAATCTCTTGCGTGCATGATAAGCCTGGATCGATGAGTTCTTTAGTCTCCTAGCCACATCTTCATCACCTTGTTCCACCGGCGTCATGCCTGCTCGCAACTCACGACCTCACCAACAAGAAGAATGCCGACACCCCAGCCCGCCTTCTGTACACCCTCGATCAGGACGACCTCCACGCATCATCCACGTCTCAAGCACGTCCAGCAATCCCTCGATCAATGCCCTGTTAGCCGGAGATCCACCAGGTCGTCCGTGAACCACGCAGACTCCTTGAGATTGCTGCCCGAGGCCAATACCAATCAGATCAGATAGCCCGTAGACTCCTTGGTGCTGGTATTGATGGCTTAATCTCCTCCTTATATGTGTTAACTAGCACAATCCCGATCGGACAAAGATATTAAATAAGTTATTCTCACATCCTTGTCCGTTTAAGTCTAAAAAGTAATAATGTTATTATCTATTTTCTACCTCTTTTAATCAACGTTAAGTCTAAAAAATTATTAAGCCGCCCTCTGGCAAATATGTATGGAGTTATGTGTTCGTGTCTCATAAGTCACAAACATTATGAATAACATTACAAATTATTCATTCAAACTCTTATTCATTGCAAATATATTAAAATAGTTTATATAACAACCATTAAATACCACTTTCAATATACTTATAAATAAAAAATACATATAATTTTTTGTGTGTTCAAATTTAAATAATTTTTTATGGGCTCAATTCTAAATCATCCTGACATATGGTCAAACGCATAGGTGTGTTCAAATTTAAATCATTGGCATTTTGGTCGGTTGAAATTTAAATCATCTACCATGGTACAGTGATGTATATTATATATATATATATATATATATATAATTTTTTAACAAATAATATGTGCTTTATAAAAAATAATAATAATAACTTCACAAGATTTTAAACGTAAAATTTGGTTTTTAATCAATAGAAAAATCATGGTAAGTCGTATTGAAAAGGTGTTATGAGATAAAACAATTAACTAAAATAATTAAATAAAGTACTTGATGGAAATAGAATGCATTAATTACCTTTGACTTTTCTTACTACTAATTCTAGAAAATAAAATGTCTTTTTATATAAGTATAGATGTGCATGTAAGATTTCTTAAACTATTTTGTAAAGAAAACATGTCTAAAAATAATTAAACTTATCATGTGTTACGTATATGTGAGTATATATATATGTACATATGGATAGAATATGTAAAAAATATGTCTGAGCATTTTTTTTTAAGTATCTAAAATATTGTAAGCCTAAATAAAGACATTATCTCACGTTAAAGTTGTTTTAGAAAAAATTTATAAGATACTATAATTATGATATTACTTCCATATGAAGATTTGACGACACAATATTTCAAAAATTACTATCATTTTTTTAAGTTGTTACCATAAAAAGGAATTTGTACGCTTACCAATTTATCAAATTTACAAATACAAATTGAAATTAATGCAAAAGCTATCAATTTTACAAATATAAATCGAGACTAATGCACACCAAAAATTATGTATGTAATTGAGATCAAAGACAAACACTGAAGACTGTTTCTATTAACATTTACAATGTGTATTTAATGTTTTTTTTTGGCAAAATATTCTTTCTAAGTGTGATATATAAATATTAAAAATACTTAAAATATTTTATAACATCTACAAAAGCATCTAAAAATATTCTATATTATTCACAAATAATGTTTGAAGCTACCTAAATTTTTCATTTAACCTCCATATATGTATATATATAGAGAGAGAAAATGTGTAAAAAAAAATTATACAAATAATATTTAAAAGTATCTAAAATATTAGTAATTAGACAGGTGAAATTTAGATTTAAAAAAAAAAACCTAAATAGATAATGGATTTATAGTAGTAATTAGACTTTTATTTATTT